AGCAGGCTGTGAACATGTCTACTCCAGCCCCCTCCTCGGGCATGTGAACACAGTATATAAGCACCTCAAACCCTCTATGCCTCCTTTTGTTGCCTAGTTATGTTTATGTTTGTTTTTTGAAACAAGCTGTCATATAGACCAAGCTGGCTCCTAATTCGGTGAGTAGCCAAGGATGACTTTGAACTTCTGAGCCTCTTGCCTTCACCTCTCAAGGGCTGAGATTATAGGTGTGCACTACCTCGGCAGGTTTATACTTTGATGGGAAGCGAATCTAGGGCTTCAAGTATGATAGGCAAACCCCCTGCCAGCTAAACTACATCCATCACAAGCTTTTAAACAGATTATTGTGTCTAGCACTGCTTTTGAGTCAGTGCCTTCCTTGACTCCTGAACCCCTGAGACCTACCAGTTGTTACTAAGAACCACCTCAAAGCACTGTGCTGGCCCCTGGAGATTCTCAGGGAGATCCCAGAGCTGAGGAGATGGATTGGAGAGGAACGGGGCTGGGGGTGGGGTACGAATAGGATTTAACTTGTTTTGAACACTCAGGAAATATTTCAACAGCAGGCCCCTAGGGATGGTTGTCCAAGTTGGTATATTTTCTAGAAAAAAAAACCAGAGGCGCTAAATACATCAGTTGCTTAGTGGCCCACTTCAAATAGCTAATCATGAACTATTCCTAGCATAGAGTTCCTACTCATTCATTCAATAAATGTGAACTAGCCAGACATAGTGATACATACCAATAATCCCAGCACGCAGAAGATGCTAGGCTAGATCTCAGAGCTCTGTGCATACTAGGCAAGGATCCTAGTAACTGACCTCCATTTCTAGCCTATGTCTAACCTTTTATTTTTTTTTTTTTATTTTTTGGCCTAGAACTCTTTATGTAGACCAGGCTGGCCTTGATCTCGCAGAGATCCATCTGCCTACCAAATGCTGGGATTAAAGGTGCACGCCCCATGCCCTGCTATATGCCTAGCTCTGGGGATTGAACGCAGGTCCTCATGCTTGTACCACAAGCACTTTATTGGCTAAGCCGTCTCCCCAGCCTTAAGGCTCAATTTTACAGTTTGCCTTGTTTCTTTGGAGGTTTTCATCTGCCCCAAATTGACATTTAGTATGGGTTATGAAAACAAACAAACAAAGCAAAACAGCAAACTGGCAGGAGAGACATTTCTGGGCCTAGATGACATTGCCTCCATCTTCTGTGTGCTCAAATCCATACTGTTGCCATGTTTCCTTCTTGCCTTTGCCATTGAGCCGGAGTTCCTGGATGGTGGAACAAAGCCAGCATCCTGTGTGGGGGTGGCCTGGTAGTGCAGCCCTCGTGCAGGGCATTGGCTACAGCATTGATGGGCATTATTTTATTCAAAACTGACAGGCGCAGTCACATCCCTGGCCAAAGCTGAAGGCTGAGGTCACCAGCAGAAGGAGCGCGGAGCCCAATGTTAAATGAGGCTTCGAAGCAACAGGAACTCTCTGATTTTGCCCCTCAAGGAGGGATGGGGAGCCTCCCTCACAACAAAGTACAAGGTGATCTAGAAGAACTCAATTTACACCCTTGGCTCCCATGGGCTGGGGGATCAGCAGAGGGCGGGATAATCCCAGCTTCTCCAGCAGATGGTTTCTGACTACCGCTTGACCCAGTTCCCTCCCAGCAGTTGACTGGCAGCAGGGCTGACAGCTCCTCCACCAGGGGAGAAAGCATGGACCCTCCTCCCACCAGCAAGGACACAGTGGCTTTTGCCTGTCCCCAGTTCCACGTCAACTAGTAGATTGTGTCAAGTACTGGAAGGTGGAGAGCTCTTCCCTACTCTCCTTCCCCTGTCCAGCCCAGCTGAGGCTGGAAGGGTTGTAGCTGGGCAGGCCAGGAGTGGCCTCCAGGGCTGATGCTGGCGGAAGTGGGAGGCATTAAACCTTTCATTGGCTTAATGACTTCTCTGGTTCATTCAACCAGTTGTTCCTTCATAAGCTGTCCCTGATCATCTCATGAGGCCTGGCCCCTGTGCTGGAGATAAGACAGGTAAAGACAGCCAGCAAGGCACTGGCTGCCTAAATAGATAAATCACTTACACAGGACACATAAGGCAAGAGAGGGCTTCACTCAGGAGGAAAGACAGAGCTAGCTGCATCCTAAAGACTGAGTTTGCCAAGTGGTGGGTGGCTCTGATAATGGAAAGAGCCATAGCTTACAGTTCCTGGTGATAAGAATGAAAGTAAAAACCAGGTGGGCAACTGGGCTCAGAGCCATTTTCAAGACATATGCCCTAGGCTTCCAGGACTATCCTCCTCCTGCCCAGGACTCTCAGGCTCCCAGCCACAGCAAGGGGAGAATACTGGGTAAGAGCAGAGGACTAAGGGGCCCGTGGGGGCAGAAGGGTGGCTATCACCAGGATCCTGCTGGGTCCTGCTTCTAAGTTGGAGTTGGCAAAGCCAGACCCGCCCTAGTTTTGCCCTGCAGATTTCTCTGGTCGGTTCCTCCTACTGGGAGAGAGAGGGCGCTCTGCTTCCAGACTTGAGGGCCTCGGCGGAACTGCGGTCCTGGCTAAGGTCCACAGCAGTACTGGTCTAGGAGGAGGTTTGCGATGGGTGTTGGTAGAACCCAAGTCAGACGTCTCTAGGCAGGGTCGTCCTGGTTTCAAAGAGAGCCAACTATACAGTTCTCCCTCTCAGTCTTGACTGCTGCGGAATGAGCAAATAGTGGGTAGGGGATCTGGAGAGCAAGGGCAGAGGACCAGTCTGTATTCCTGTCGCTGGGTACTGTGCCCTGTAGACACTGTCCTGTTGACCCATACGCAGGTTGGGGGAAGGGAGGGGCAGAAAAAAACTGGTTGCACTTGGGGTTCTCTGGTCAGGACTGGGAACCAGACTTCTATCCGCAGCGCTTCCTGTCTGGTGCCTGGGGAAGGGCACCCCAGAACCCTCTTTTTCGCCTTCTGCGAGGTTGGCCTAGTCTGTTTGGGCCTCCCGAAGAGCCAGTGTGATGCAGGTATCACAGTGCCCCCATTACAGATGAGGAAACAGAGACCGGAGGTGAGGCTGGACTTTTTTCAAAGCGGGCCAAGCCTGAAGTCCCCTACTAGAACCCGGGTTTATCTGAAGGCCGGGTGTGTCAAGACGGGTGTGTGTGTGGAGAGAGGTGGAGACTCCACCAGTATGGCAAGCTCTGGGACTTGAGAAGCTTTGGACCCTCCAAGATAGGTTCCGGCACAATGCAGGCGCTCCTCGGCGGCTTTGGTAGAGCATGGTCAAGCCTTCAGCGGCCCTGAGGGCTCACTCACTGCCCAGTGCAACGGCAGCCTGGGCGGCTAGAAGAGGGCGCTGCATTCCGGGAGTGGCATCCACCCGCAGAGCTTCTCTGCTGCATCGGAGCCTGCTCCCACACCACCCCCAAGCCGGACAGCCAAAGAGCGCCCCTTGGAGGGCCTGAGGGCTGCTGCGATGAGCTAGGGCCGCCTGTCCCAGTTGGTTGGGGTGGCGGCTTGGGGAAAGGGCAAGGCCTGAATGGCCGTGAGTAGGGGCGGGGGCGAGAAGCGCCCGGATTCTACGCTCAAAGCCCGTAGGTGCCATCGATCCAATGCCCGGTGAGGCGAGGGTCTGGGGCACCCACGTGGTGGGAAAGTTTCGAGGTAGCAAAAGTGGCCTGGCACCGCGGAGGGCGGGGAGAAAAGGGCCGACTCGCCCCTCCTCACCAAGGCAGAAAGGGAAAGAGCTAGAGAAGCGGGGGTGGGCGGAGGAGCGGGCAGAATCGACCTGCAGAATCCTCCTCCCCCTCCGCCCCCAGGAAGCCAGCCGGGAGGCGCGGACGGTCTCTTCCCGCACGGCCCATACTACACCCCCTCTTCTTTCTTTCTTTTTTTTTTTTTTTTTTTTTTTTTTTTTTCCTTGACAACGTCTATCTCAACGCGCGCACATACGGAGATTGTGCGGCTTTTTTACCCCTCGAGAGAAAAAACGGGGAGTGGAAAGGAAGAGAGGGCAAAGCGAAGAACTCCTCGGGCGCGCTCTGTACTCCGAGCCGCTGCTGGGCGCGGGGACGCCGCCGCCACCGCCACCGCCACCGCCGCCTCGCTCGGTCCCAGGCCCTGCGGCGTGTGTCAGTGGGAACACGAGCCAGGGCACTCGATCCCGGGAACACAGAGACTTTTAGCCGCCACCACCGAGGCAGGCAGAAGAGACACCAGAGAGAAGGGCCCTGCCACCGCCTCGCCCTCCTCGGCCGCCCGGGCCGGCCAGCGCGGGCAGCCCGGCACAGGGAAGCAGCGAGGAGCAGAGGCCCCAGAGCACCGCGCCGAGGCCCGCTGGTGGATGCGGCGCCCGGGGGAGCCTGGAGTCAACTTTGCCGGGTGACGCGCTGGGAGGACTGCAGGGCCCTCGGCCGAGGACAGCTCGGCGCCGCCCGTGAGAGGGGCCCGCGCGCCGGCGCTCCGGGCCACCGCGCTCGCTCCTCCCGCCCGCCCGGAGCAGGGGAAAGACCTGCCCATCGTCGCTGCCTCTGGCGGCCGGGTCCCCGGCTCCGAGCAGCCACTGAGCGAGGCGCTCAGGTGCGATCGCGGGGCCCCAGCCGCAGCGCCCTCCGCAGCGCCGCGCCCGGGGCTCCGACACCTTCGCTTCAGTCTCCAGTGCAAGTTGCGTCCTCTGGTTCTTCCAGCCGAGGCACCGCGCCGCCACCACCGCCACCGCTCGTCGCTTTCGCTCCACCCGATCAGGGGGCTGCGCTGGCCCCCGACGCGGAAAGGATGGGCAGCAGGCTGCAGATGCCCCGGCGCCCCGAGACGCCCGCGCGCCAGTGACCCTCGGGGTCCCCGCCCGCACCCCTCCGGTCCCCGCAGCGCCCCTTCTCTGCCGCGCGGGAACCCCC